AAAAAACGTAGTCGTGGGAGAAAACGGTCACAGGCCAACACGCAAACATTCTCTATGCAATTCTCCCTGTCAAGGCTCCGCGACTCTTTAGCAGAAGGTGAAGGAAGAAAAGGAATCGAATCAGAAACATGGAAGGAGAGGGATAAACTGTTTCTGATATGGCTTTTTTCTCGGGCGACTCTGGATAACAGCAATGAAAAATGTACCACGTTTGCCAGACTGAGCTACCGATCCTCTCAACCTGTACACATACTCGAAGATACCACAAAACACTACATTAATGAGCTGCGACGGATTTTACCTGGACGCACAAAACCAGCAGAATCCTTACCTTTTCCAGATTGGGATACCTGATTGACAAGGCTATAGTGTCAGAGCATGCTTCGATTCCAAAACCGTTCCTTTTCTTTCGTACTATGCTTCTTTGGTGCTGGAGGCATTTTTCTCCTGTATGGGTGTCTTGAACGGGACATTTTTAGAGTGCCAGCTTTGGGAAGTTATTGCACGCTTAGACAAGTTTTCGTGTGGGGCAATGACTTGACAGCATGGTGAGATGTTGTCGAGACTTCTTCATTATAAAACAGCCTCGAAATTGTATTACTTAAATCGTACGGCATATTTACTGAGCAATTTTCAATGAGTGTTTTTCCAGCATTGAAGACGAAACCATTTCTAACCATGGGAAAACTCCTACCACACAAGGGCGCTGTATCCGAATCTGGTTCAGTTTTATCATTACGAGCAAAGTTCGTGAAGTAGAAGTAAGTGCTGTTTCGGTGTTTCTTAGATCGGACTGGAGGATGACCAACTGCTGCTGATTTCATCATGCCATTTGATAATTTCGTTGCTTGTAGTCACAACTACGTGAAACAGTAGGTCAATCTGCCCTTCTTTTCGCAGCGCGGTCATATCGGGGGTTAGTGTCCCTCAGCTTCGGGATCCCACTTCCACTAGCCTTTGATTATCGGTAATTGTGGCTACAAATTAGCGATTCTTCCTATGAAACTTTCCTGCTTCTATACTTAGACGTAAGGAAAACCGCTAAATTGGCAAAGGAATCTCATTATAATTTTGTCCGCTTCCATTTAAGTAATCAAAGCGACAGGTTGAGTTACCTTTAGGTGGAAAGTTAGGAGTAAGATTTACTGAGAAGGCGAAGTATTACATGACTGGGCAGCAAAGTGTTCTGGTGGACTGTCCTTTAGTATCACAAGAAGTTACAATAAAAATGACAATGGGCAGAATGAAACCAATGATCCAAACAGTTCCTTGATGACATCAGTGTAATTGGTATGATTAACACGCGCCTGCGATCATCAGCATGAAAATGTGTTCCCATTCGATGATAGGTAGATGTCTGTGCAAAGAGCCTCTTAGTCGTATTTGCAAGTGCACATGTCCATTACAGGTCCGATGCTAGACTGAAGTTATATTCTCATCTTTT